TTACGTACACGGCTCTGAATACTGTGTTCAGAAAACTTCGCTGCTGCAAAGCATGAAATGTGCACTATGATACAGTGAGTAAAGACTAAGGAGGATGAAAATCAGACACAAAGCAGGGTCTTATTTGAGGGCCAAGGCAATGTTGGCATTGGGCCTCAAAACCAAGAAAAGGCATACTAGAAGCCCTGATGGGCAGGCTCCAGAGAGATGAATTCTATAATCCAAGGGTGGGAATTAAGAGGCCATTACTGTTGTAGGGCTAGGCCACCGCCCTGGCTTTGAAGGGAGGGAGGGAGGAGGCTCTGATCTCACAACTATGCTACTAGAGAATAGAGCTAGTAACTAGGAAACCACCTCAAGTATTTCACAGAGGTACCCGAGAGGCCCTGCCACGGGTGAGAAACCTGCCTCCACCCTCATCCCAGACACTGGTCATAGGAATAGAGGTCCCAATAAAAGGGGCCGGGGACACTAGGACCAACATAAGAGCAGCAACCTGTTTAAGACAAAACAAACAAAACTGCTGCCTTCTCACCCACTTGAAGGGACAACAGAACTCTGGGTGAGGGGCTCCAGAACAGATCTCAGCTTAGTCACAGACGATGTACTAACAGTAGAGGAATATGTACATAATAAATAATATAAAACAAAGCATATACATTTGTGGATCTGAAGGACTCCAGAAACAAGAAAGGTCAATGGACTGATACACTCTATCTTCACAGTAGACTTCAGACACGGCAGTGATGAATGAAGCTAGGCCGGGCTCTCTGTGGAGTGAGAGTCCTGAGGCCTTACTCTCCCCACTCCTTTCTGCTCTGGCGGCCTGAGACCAGCTGTTTCTATCCAAGGGGCTGGGTCTCCACACACAGGCACCCAAGCCCCCCAGGTCCATCTGCGTTCTCTCCAGGGTGAGTCTGAAGAAGAGTCTGGCTCCAAAAGAATTCCTTTCTAGTGAATCCACATCAGTCAGATGTGGGTGGGCAAATGCCAGGAGCTGGCCTGCCAAATGAGGCAAGACAGTGCTCCCGTCATTATTCCAGTTCCCGTCATTCTTAAAATGCTCCTAGGTGTTAAAAATCGAAAACGTGTTTTCACTCAGTCTTATAGTACATGCCGGCTCTGTGTACACAGGCACCTTGGCATACAAATGCCTAGAACTTTACTCTCGTGCCACTAGAACCTTCATTTTCATTTGCATCAAGAACAGCCTGGTATTTCCTATCAAAAGATATTTAAGACAATTCTAGCGAGATGATGTCAGTGGCTAGCACATCCCGAGAGAAAGCTTACTGGAGCTGAGCCACCCACAAAAATCTAAGAAGCAAAGAAGGTCCCAGCCCAGGATTGTGGGAGAAGAGCTGCTCCAAGCTCTGCAGTTGCCATGAACTCCATTTCCCTGCTGCCCTCACGGCTGACCAGACAGGACAGACGAAAACCAGCAAGAAAGCATTGGCTGCATCAGGAATGAAGGCCCCCGTCAGCCTTCAGGGATGGTAACCAGCAAGCCGGGTGCCACCAACACCCCAAACGGAGACAGCGAACCTCTCCTATCAGCCCACATGAATACAACAGAGAGATGAGAAGATGAAGATCAGCAAGTGGCCCTGAGTTACAAGAACGGAGTAGGTTGCCCACGATACATTTACACCAGAAAGGTTTCTGAATCCCCACATCACTTTCATACTGAACCAAGTCCCTCCTAATTCTGGGCTAACCTACAACCCACCCAGAACAGAATGGAACGAAACCTGACCCCAGACAAGAGCCTGTGTCCTCCACAGGAAAGAGCACCGAGGAAGCCTCACGCCTGCACTGCCGCTCCGCCTTGGGGTCCTCGCCCCTGCGAGAGAAGCCAGGGGAGCCGTCCCCTTGGCCCCTGCCAACAGGGAGCTTGGGTCATGTGATGGCACCAAGCCAACCCTCCCTGGTGGCCTCTTGCTTGAAATGCCAGGGAACAAGGTGAACACCTACCTCCCTGTGCCAGCCTAGGTCAGGCCTCTGCCTGGGGTCACCCCTGGGAACACTGGAGGCATCTTGGTCTCCTGGCCCAGAAATAGGGAAGATAGTCACAGATCCCTGGCTGGCTTTCAGAAGATGACAGGGTTGGGTTTTTTTTTTGTTTGTTTGTTTTTGTTTCTGACCAGCCAGGACACAGGCTCAATCAGCCATGGCCTACTTAGGTCTGCTTCTCAACCTGAGAATTCGAGGGCAGAAGTTCATGGTCCCTGCTTGGCCTAAATACCTGTTGCTTCACTGTCTGTGGAAAATGCATTTCTACTTTTATCTATTTTCCTAGACTTGAAAAAGCTGGTCCTTTAGTCGTATGGCCCTGGTATAGCTCAGGTAAAGATGTTCGCAGTAAATGTTTCATACTGATGGTGTGGAGTTCTGCATTCAACATTTGTACACAAGTTCCTTGAAATAACAGTAGGAAACAGTAAGATGCCCTGCTCCCTCCCACCTGGGGAAGCCCAGCATGGGCACTGAGCTACCTTTGGGAAGTGAGGTGAGGGAGGGAGGAACGGGGCTGAATGGGGTGCCCCTTCAAATTCAAACTCTGCAAGAATCGAGGCGTACACTAGTTGATTAGCACCCAATATCCAGGAACAAATCTTAAGGATTTGTTTTTCTAAGAATTTAAGTACATGATTTTGGACTTTCCTGATTATATAAAACAGGGAAATAAAGGGCGAGAACCTCTAAGGCAGTAGGTAAAAAGCCACTTTCATTTATAAAAAGAAAGCCAACAGTCCTGGGAACATTTGGATCCTCAATCCAGTTCCATTTGAACCTTTACCAGGGAGGCTGCGCAGGAAGAGGTTCCACAGCAGGGGCCACAGAGGCCATGGAGGGGGAGGCCCTGGGTCCGACAAGGGCTTCAACAAAAGTCAGGACCCTAGGACCTGCATCTGCCACACAGCCCTCCCCTCCACACTTACAAAGCCAGCAGCCCCAGGAGAGGACGAGCCACCTGGTGCTAAGGACTGGCCACTGCACATCGAGATCTGAACTGTCTTTCTCTGCCCGACTCCAGTTTACTTTACAGACAGGAATTGTACAGACCTTCTAAGCCAGAATCATTCTCCTGCCGCCCCGAGGAGCAGTGAGCGAGCGTATCTCCTTCCACAGCCTGAAGTCAGTTCCCAGGGGGAGGGGCCTGGAAAAGAAATCTGGTGGCTCACATTGTGATCTGAAGGGTCTTGAGCATTCCCCAAAGCAGATGTATAGCCAGATGTTAACCTTCATGCCTCTCGGGGCCAGACAAGAATTACTTTTTATTCTTTGTTATAAAAACAGTGTGAACAGTCAAAGGTAAAGAGTGGTTTATAGAAACATACAAACTTGGAGGTTAAACTTCTGTCCTCTGGGAGCCCCCGTGCAAAGCCACCCCTGCCAGCTCCTTTACAGAGCGGACAGAGAGCCACATGCTGAACAGGTAAGAGATTAAAGAGTTCCGTTTCTCTCTGAAGTCAAGGAGGCAGCAGCTGGAATCGATCCTTTCCCTCGACCTGGACTCTCACTGAGCTTTAGGATT